CAATTTTTAACCTAATTTCATCATTCCATATTTAATTGGTTAAAAACTGAACTATATATTTTTTTTCCTCTATGTCCTAGAAGTTCCCATATTTCTTGTTCCCGGGTACCCCGAGTACTTGAAAGAGTAGTAAACCCAATATGTCAAAAGCCAATACTAAAATTTAACTTTTTTTCTGAACTTGACCCACGGGATGTTATCAGTTGAGCCAAAACACTTAACATTTTGGACAAATAACTCTCATGTTAAGCTCAATTCTTCATCATTGACTTCTTGCAACTGCATCTGCTCAAATATAATACTAACACAAAAAGCCACATTTTCTAGCTTTATACCCTGATATGAACTTAGCTCCTCAGGAGACTAAACCTAACATCTTTCTGGCATGACCCGTGGGTTGGCTTCTTTGCATTTGTCCAGTAACAAAAACTTCCATTCCAAGAAACAACTCATCAACTAAATATCGCATAATCCAAACCACACCCCCACCTACTCATAATTCAATCCCAAAGCAACCACATTCCACGGCAACGAAGCATCACATGAGATAATGTCTCATTATGAAGACTTCAAAATGGAAACAATTCTCCACGACAGCAAAGATTTCCTCTGTGAACAAAAACGTCTCTAGTGCTTAGTCTATCTAACGCTGTCAACCATGTGGATGCTTCAACTTTAGAGGTGCTAGATTTAACCAAAAAAAAGAGCATAACAGAATTCATGAGATAATTGCAGGCCTTAACTGGGAAAAGTCCTTTGCTATCATATCTCCAAACCAGAAGATCTCTTTTTTCTTCATTCAGATGGACTGGTGAAATCAAAAGTCAGATCACTTGAATTGATTCCCTAGACAGTAATAGTCTTCTTCACTTAAGTTTCCACCACTTTGAATTGCTACTCCAATTCACCATACATGCAATTCTGCTACGCTTGTCCTAAGCTAAAGCAAACGAATTCACAAAGGCATTATTGAGATAAGCAGAGCCAATCCATGAGTCATGCCAAAGAGATGTAGAAGATCAAAACTATAGTAGACTTAAAAAAAAGAACAAATTGTATAAGAGAGTGACAGAAGTGGTTCATCATGCAGTTCATCATCGCTTACTATAAATTTATAAAAGGATCATACTGTGCCGAAAGACAAAATTGAAAAACACATCAAAGTTCCAACACCAATTTGTTCTTTATTGTTGCTGAAACAGATAAAAAAAAAGCACAGATTTCAATTGCATTTTACCATGAACAATAAATAATTATTCAGAGTAATCAATTTTGTGAAATTAAATAATATTTCGTTAATAAATTCATAAAGAAAACAATATATAATTATTCAGAGTAATAAATTTTACCTACATGTGATGCAATATAAATAAAAAGAAGATAAATATAAGTTCACTTACTTGTGGAGATTGGAGAGAAGCCAATTCGGTGAAGGGAAGAGGGCTAACGAGAAGAAACAGATGAAGATCCGTGTATGGCTGCCTATTTTGGGAACCAGGGATTTTTATCCCTAGTTCAAAACGGCGCCGTTTATATGTTCATTGAAAAAAAACTGGAACGAATATATTACCTTATACTCGCTGTGCATTTTTAACTGTTTATTATCTCATATTTTACTGTTGATGGACTCTTCAAAATTTTATATCTTTTTAATTGAGTTTTTTTTTTTTACGTTTTAATCCTATTTAAAAAATAATTAATTTCAAATTCTTATAAAAAAATAAAATTAAAAGAAAAAAAACAAAATAAAAAAATGACAAACATGAATGGTATATTATAACTTTCAGAAATAAATTTATTTTGATGAAACTTAAATAATCATATAAATTATATAATTTTAGTTTTTTAAATTATTTTTATTTTTATTTTAGTAAAAAAATTATTTTTATTATTTGTAATCCTCTCAAATTTCAAAAATAAAAAAAGTTACTATCAAAATAAAAAATATTTATTTTAAATTATTTTATTTAATAAAAAAAATTCATATTAGATGTTTTTAAAAGTTTAAGAAAGAAATATATCTCCGAGTTGATTTTTTTTATTTTAAATTTAATTTATTTTTTGAAAAAGCTTTTAGTTTATAAATAAATTTATTATAGTTTTTATGATATTGTATATATATTTTGAGTAAAATTTATATTAAAAAATAAAATTTTAAATCAAAATAATATAAATTTTAATTTTTTAACTATAAAACAAGCTACGTGCAGATTAAAAAAAGAGCCTAGAACGTAACTCTATTGATAGGCATACACGTTAGCCTTGATGAAATGAGCAGATGAGCTAATGCGATCCTTTTTTCCTCTTATTTTTTTTTTATTTCAATGAATTTTGTTTATTGTTTTTCAAATTTAATTATAATTACATTAATATTTATTATTTTTTTATTTTTTTAGAAGGTTTTTTAAAATAATAATAATTTTTTTAAAAAAATTTATAATTCATCTATAAATTTTTTTATTTTTTATATAAATAAATTATGTTTTTAAAAATAAAAAATATTTTATTTTTAGATAATATTTGTAATATATATAGCCTAACATATTATTTTATTTTTTATTAATTTAAGTTAATATATTTATT